TACTAATATGCATCAAAACTCTTTTCATACCTCTCTTAATAAAGCACTAGAAACAATCATAAAAGAACTTCATGTACAGTTACTAACATGACTCATCATTCAACAACCAGTGTTCAAACAAAAGAATTTCTTGATTGATCACAACAGAAAATGTATTTTCGAAAAACATTTTAAAGAGTTGTTTCTAGAAAAATAGAAATTTCCGTCAATATAATTCTGACAAAATTCTAGTAATTCTATATACGAATTCGTAGCATTTGATAGGTTCCTAAACGATTTCCTGTGTTTTGTAGGATCCTATATGATGTAGGACTGCCCATTTAGTTTGCATGTAGCCAAACGCTTTAATTGATGTAACTAAAAGTTCTTCTGTTAACTTATCAAAATCTTATGAACTCACCTAAACTAATTATATAATCTATCTTACCGAATCCTCTTATCAGAATCTTATAAGACTCTTATATTTCTCTTTATAAGAATCTTTTCAATATCTTCCGCATTTCCATCGACTGCCTTATATAAGATTCTTATAAGATTTCTATAGAATTGCCGTAAGTACGGTCGCCTAGGGTGACAGATGAGGACGCAATCTTGGTCAAGTTCAACGGTGGTTAACAGGTAGTACAAATCTGATCTTGATGAGTCGTACAAGTTATATCTGCATTTGCTAATCGATACGATGAAAAATTCTGAATATGTTTTCTTAGAAGATAAGAGTAAAGTAATTATGAAAATAAATATAAAACATAAGAAGTACTCCATTAGACGCTCGTATACCATACGGCGTATAGTACAACTGACTCAGTCGTTATGAAGTAAGGGTGTCTCGATCTTCAGACTTTTGTGTGAGGGTCGGTGAATCCTAAAACAGCGATAATATAACAGCCTTTACACTATCTCTTCTCCTGAAAGCAAACATTGTTGAATTATTGGGTGTATGTCATCCCCAGGACTCGCGCTAGTCGCGACACCTCTGCCGAAAGTTTCTTACCATATTCAGAAAAGTCCTACAAATCCAATTTAAACAATCCTCTGGAACATACAATTAATTCGCTCAAAACAGAATAAGAAATTTAATCCAAATAAAGCATGGGCAAGTGTCGACATATCGCATTGGGGCGAATGTATCTGTGAAAAACTATCTGGTTTTGAAATAACATTAATGCAATTAATACTTGTGATTAATGAGATTTTCAGAAGAGCAAACGGCAAAAAGGCTTATTTGGTTTTTCTATGAATGCAGGCACAGTCATACTTTTTCATTAGTCTACCAGTTGCAGCCGTCATTCCTAGTTGTTTTCTCTTGATTGGTTTACGAAATATCATTGAAAAACGGTAAGGAACGATCGAGATTCAGACACGTTATAATGAGAAAGCATCTTATAACTGATAGCTAGTTTTCCCTATCCACTTTTACTGGAACGTATCTTGTTAGATCACTTGTTTAATTATTAATTCACAGCCATCATGCTCAGTCTAAAGTGGCTGACTGTATGTTTGCTTGGTATAGCATTGTTGTTAACGAGTAAGTTCTTTACTACCGGCTAAAGTGATATTGTATTAACAATCTTGTTTTTCTTTGCTGCAGATGTTGTAAAAGCTGACGATGAAATCGAAGGTGATGGAGGAGCCGTACCCAAAGTCGATAATAATATAGGAAAACATACGGAAGGCTCGCGGACAGATGATGAAGTCGTGCAAAAGTAAGCTCTTTTGCTCAGTAGCACGTTTCTTCATAAGAAAGTTTATTTTTGTTGTGTTTAGAGAAGAAGAAGCAATCAAACTTGATGGGCTTAGTGCAAAAGAATATCGTACACTTGTTGACGCATCAGAAAAACATCAGTTTCAAGCGGAAGTAAATCGTATGATGAAATTAATTATTAATTCATTATATAAAAATAAAGAAATATTTTTACGTGAATTGATATCGAATGCAAGTGATGCTCTGGATAAAATCCGTTTCTTATCGTTAACGGATAAAGGTGTACTCGGTGATAAAGAAGAGTTAGTGATCAGAATAAAGGTGATAATTTTTATTTTTTGTCTGTACAAATCTACTTTTATTTTGTGTTCATTCAGGCTGATAAAGAAAACCGTATGTTACATGTCACCGATACAGGTATCGGCATGACAAGGGATGATTTAGTTAAATTTTTGGGGACAATTGCTAAATCAGATACAAGTGAATTTTTTAATAGAATACAACAGGCACAACAAAACGCGGATACTGGTGCATCAATGAACGATTTAATCGGACAATTTGGTGTTGGGTTTTATTCAACATTTTTGGTTGCTGATCGTGTTATTGTTACATCAAAGCATAACGATGATGAACAATGGATTTGGGAATCAGATTCAACTTCATTCAATATCATGAAAGATCCAAGAGGAAACACACTGGGACGTGGTACAACTGTTACGTAAGTTTTCCAGCTGACGCACCGCGAATACATTACCATTGATCTAGCTGTTTCTTTTTTCTAGTGTTCATTTGAAAGAAGAAGCTCAAGAATATCTAGAATTAAATAGAATGGAAGAAATTATTCACAAATATTCACAATTTATTAACTTTAACATTTTCTTATGGAAGAGTAAAACTGTCAGTGAAGAAGTGCCAGATGATGATATCATAACTGATCAAACAAAAACTGACGATGAAAAGAAAACTGAAGATTCAGATGCCGCTGTTGAAGATGAAAAAGATGATGCTGAAAAGAAACCTAAAACAAAAAAAGTTGACAAAACTGTCTGGGACTGGGAATTGATGAATGTAGCGAAACCGATATGGCAACGAAAGTACGTTTTCTATCTAATGCTGGAATTGTAGAAATTAGAAGACCGCTTAACCGCTGAATGAGATTAAACGAATATATTCTTCTAACTGTCAATTCTTGCTATGAGAGTTAATTGAAAAGCAGCGAGGAATACTATTCGTCAGCGTAACGTGCTAGAATTTTTTAATAATAGTGTACTGTTCTCATTCTAGGCCAAGTGAAGTTCAAGAAACTGAATATACTGAATTTTATAAATCATTTACGCGTGAATCGACTGAACCCATGATTTATTCTCATTTTACAGCTGAAGGAGAAGTTACATTTAAATCAATTTTATACATACCAAAAGCGGCACCATTTGATTTATTTTCAAATTATAACAAGAAAACGGATGCTATCAAACTGTACGTTCGCCGTGTATTTATTACCGATAATTTTGAAGAAATGATGCCAAAATATTTAAGTTTTATTCGTGGTGTTGTTGATAGTGATGATTTGCCATTAAATGTATCACGAGAAACACTACAACAAAGTAAATTATTGAAAGTAATTAAGAAAAAACTGGTTCGTAAAGCATTAGATATGATTAAAAAAATATCGACTGATGACTATGAAAAATTTTGGAAAGAATTTGGTACAAATATTAAATTGGGTGTTATTGAAGATGCGGCAAATCGAACACGTTTAGCTAAACTATTGCGTTATACAACATCAGCATCAAAAGATAAACAAATTAGTTTAAGTGAATATATTGAACGTATGAAACCAAAACAAGAACATATTTATTTTATTGCCAGTATGTCATTAGACGAAGCGGAGAAATCACCATTTGTAGAGAGAGTATTGAAAAAAGGTTATGAAATATTGTATTTAACTGATCCCGTTGATCAATATTGTAAGTTTATGCTTTATAGGTGAAATAATCAAATCAAATAAATTTTTTGTTTGGTTTTTTAGGTATGCAATCATTACCCGAATTTGAAGGTAAAAAATTCCAAAATGTAGCCAAAGATGGTCTCGTAGTAGACAATCTTTCCGATGAGAAAAGAGAAGGAATAAAGAAAGAATTAACAAAAACATATGAACCATTAATTAACTGGCTTAAAGATAAATTGAAAGAGAAAGTGAGTAATAGGTTTTTTTGTGTTTTTTATTCAGATAAAATAGTAAAAGAATATACTTTACTTTTTCGCGTCTTGTATATATTTCTGGTTTCTTAGTATCTGACCATAAATTACTATTTTTTAGATTGCAGATGCAAAATTATCTGATCGTTTAGTCAATACGGTATGTAAACTTGAATTCAAACATTTTATAGCTATTGTCGACTTTTCTTATTTTAGCCAATGGCATTAGTCGCATCACAATGGGGATATGACGGAAATATGGAACGTATCGGTATGTCATTAGTTTGGCGTACCTAGGGTTACTTAGCTATTTAAACCCTTTATACTGTTTTTTAGCTCGTGCACAAGCCTATCAAAAGAGTGGCGGTGATTCATCAATGAGTTATTATCTTAATCAAAAGAAAACATTGGAAATAAATCCGAGACATCCATTAGTCAAAGATTTATTGAGACGTATTGAAGATAGTAAAGAAGATAAAACAGCGTTGGTAAGTTGTTTTTAATGTGATAAAGAAAATGAATTTTGATTATAACAATTGATTTTAATTAAATAGGAATTGGCTAATGTAATGGTTGAAGCAGCGACATTAAGATCTGGCTATGATTTGAAAGATACAGCGGGCTTTGCTGAACGTATTGAATTTATGTTACGTCGAGCAATGAATATACCGTTAGATGAAAAAGTTGAAGATGAACTAGAAGATGATTCAAACGAAAAAATCACATTGACAGATCATGATATTATTGACGATGATACTGATAAAACATCATCTACTACAAAAGCAGATGCTGATGAGGATACCACAACAACTGAAAAGGTAACGTAACAAGTTGAATAACTTTTACTTAATAAAGCACAAATATATACTTTTTAGGATGATCATATAGATTTATAAATAAACAATAATTAGAAACTAGTTGTTTTTTTCTTCTGGCATTTCACAACGACTCGAAATTTCATGTTTTTAATATAGTCAAATATAAGTGTGAGTGAATATGTGCGTGTATGTCTATTTTTATTTTTGTGTTAACGTTCGAAATCATTCCTAAAGATGAATTCTGTTATTAAGTATTGTTTTAAAAAAATATCTTTGTATTTCTGTTTTTTTCAATTTTTTTCTAGTATGTGCGTGTAATAGATACCGATGATATATTAAGATGTTTTCGAAATTGCATTTCAATCTCCTTCTCAAGGTTATATTTTGACAATTAGCTGATCATACTCCTTTGTCTGGATAAAAATCTCGAATGAATATGTTCTCATTAATTCATTCGTCCCTTCTTCATAGTTGTTTTCAGTTTTGATCATTATCGTCGTTTGTTTTTTTTCTTTAGAAACTTTCTTTGTGTTTTTATTGTGGTTTTCACTTTTTCATTCGTTATATTTGTTTGTTTTGCTCTTGCCTTTTTTTACATATCATACAAATAAATTAGACCACTTGACAGAATTGTTAATCTAGCAATGCGTAAAAAATTAGTTACCATCAACATTAAATTCCACAAGATCGAAGTTATATTACATTATTAATAGGTTGTGTGTGATTTAATGTGATTTATTCTATAATTTCCAGTAGTATTTAGTCATTGCTAGTATTGAATTCAATTGATTTGAAGCGTTCAATTAACCACTGTCTAATTCATGTATGTAATTGAGTTCATGTTTCTTACCCATTATAAACAAAGTTTTCTCATACATGATAGAATCCATTTGAAGAAATTTTGATGATCGTGGCAGTAGATAGTATTAAACATACTCATTTTGTCAATATTAGAAGCTGCTGAACAATGGGAACAACGCTCCCACAGATTTTGAAATGTGAAAAAGTGCGTGGACGGGATGTTGAGCGAACCACACAGTTGGAAGATTTTATTTCTTTGCATTTGTCATATAATCGCTTTATCTTTGGTATCTTTCACTCCATTTCCTCTGTTAATTATATATTCGATAAATGACAGATTTTTTTAAAATGTTTCCTCGCAGCGTCTGACTCATTCTGCTGCCTCTGGTCAATAGGAGCGTACCTCGACCTTCAAACCACGGTGCAATAACAGAATTTTTGGCAAACATGTTCACATTGCGCACAGAAACAGACAACAATTTCTAACATTTTTGTTTTCATGATGACCAATGGATTGAAAATTTGAATTTAAATGTTTTAAAATGTCATCTAGTATCGTTTTACGTACATTTTTTTGAGATGAGATTTTATTAAAATCAATTGTGCGATTTTTCATTTTTGACCAGTTAACTACTAAATCAGACCGATCAATTTGATCTATAGTATAACTTTCAATTGATGTTGTGCCAGTTTCATATTTTTACAAACTATTTCGCTTAAGGAAAAACAAAAGATCTTAGAAAGTAGGCTGGGGATTACCTCGATCGATCCGCATCTACTTGTTACGTCCCTGTTGGTCAATAGTAAGTTTCAGTGATTCTTTATTTCCCTTATTTGTTATCTAAATATTACTATGTTGTCTAAATAAATCGTTGTTTCTATTTACGGCTGCAGGGAAAATGAATCTAAAAGAAAACCTGATAAATACTTCATAGATAAAACGATGAAAAAGTAATTTCATAGTTTCATCTTGTTCACTTCTTATATCAATATCTGAAAATTACTCTAATAGAAGTTTGATCATATCAAAATTTGGTTGTTGTAATTGACCTTCTTACAAAAAAAATAGACTAGTATCACCTGATCGATTCGCACAGTATGAATGAATCAGTTAGGATCAACATTAAATCAAACATTAATAATAAATTAGGAATTTGAAAAAGAGAAAAAGAAAAGAAGAAAGAAAGGTATCAAATCCTGATTTTCGTGCGAGCCATTAATTTGATCGCTCTTGGAAACGATAATAGTATAAGACGATTGAAGATGAAAAGTAAACTTAAAACAAGAAGATATAAATCCTTATTAATCGTTCAATTGAGAAAGCAACAGTTACCGTTCGATGCTTACTTCACTTGTCTGCTTTGGTCGAATAAAAAAGTTGACACTCGGGATGCGTATTCCGTTGGACAGTGAACAATAAATTAAAAACTGCACAAACTGAAGAAAACAACAATATAATGTGAGACATGCAGTCATTTGATTGAAAGATTTATATATTGAATATTTAAAGTGAGCACTGAGATGAGTTTTATCATTTATTTTTAATTTAGTCAAATATACAGTCTATTAAAGTATTTCTATATTTCAGTTTATGTATTATTTTTCTGTTTCGTATTTATTGGTGTTCAATTGTTGAAACACTTGTGTCTTTCATGTTTTTTATCCGTTAAATTAGCTTATCGACTTATAGGTGAATATGTTGTTTTCTCAAGAAACAACTACAATTCACTGCTTATTTCTTTCTTTCTTATTGTTCCAAATTTCATTCATATACGATTTTGGTGCGAAACTTCCTCTTTTTTCACTCGACATTCACTTCAAAAAATATTTGGAATCCTCTTTTATTCTTCTTTTTTCAGACCATTGCAATCGAAAGCAAGCAAATATTCAAAAATGATTCTAATTTATTCAATCGATTATTTTTTATACACATAGAATAATGATCACTCGAGATTTTTACCATTTATTAGTTTATCACATACTGCACAGTGGGCATTTTTTGCTAGAGCAAGCGGACTTTAGCTTTATGAGCGAACTAAAATTTCTTGAACCATTTTTTTATAGGTTTTTCATGATCCTCTTTCTAATGGCATAAGAGTTGGGTTTTGA